TTTTCCATGCAAGTTTTTCCTCCAGTCAATATTCTCTGTAACACTAAGTGTGAAAGCTTCATAATTCAAAAAAATCCTTAAGAAAGCTTATCAAATCAATAAACTGGAGTTAATTACATGCTTCCTGATGAAGTAAAGGAACTGAAGAACCCTGATGAACAGATAAGACTATTATTACTACTGTTGCTCTTACCTTGCAAAATGTCAAAATAACGGTGTTGGCAGGTGTTAAACACTTCCAAGTATCCTTACCTTTGGAAATATTTTCTAATATTTTATTCTTGTTAATGTAGACAGATCCCTTTGGGTGTCGTTTCTCTGACAAATGTTGCCTTTCCTGCTCAGCTATTCCAGTTGTTATGATATAAGGGCAATTTTCCTTCTGCAAGCTTTCTGTATCTAAATCAAGTCTCCGTTTAACTTTCTCAAAACTGCTTTCCAAAAACTGTTCATTCCCATAGCACACAGTGGGGGTGTCCATTTGCTGCTGCCTAGTCTTCTGGTTTTGCATCAGTAAAGGAGATGGGTTTTTTACATCATAAGACTTATTCAGCTCCATCTGTAAACTGCAGGAGTTTTTCTCTAACACACCGGCCGACTTGAGTCCACTCACAGTTCCAAGGTTTTGACTCCCTGCACGCTCACTGGTGGCATCTGGCTCCTGCAATCTGGGCACTGCCCCACAAGCACTCTCCACTTGGTGTCCTCTCCCGTCAGCTGCTGACTGACCTTCACCCACAGCAAGTCCATGGATAACTTTATTTTCCAACAGATTTCCTGAAGATTGACATACCTGAGTTGATTTACCTAAAACCATTTCCTCTAAGGCTTCAGATGTATTTTTGCTGACATAAACTTTGCTTGAGCAAACTCCTACTAAATCCATTGGTAACTTTGGCACAGTTGCGGGTACATCTGCTTTTTCATCAGTATCTTGAACAACTAAATCTACTGCCTGTTCTTTTCCTTTAGGACTTAATTCACAGGCATTTATTGGGTTATTTATCAGTATATGACATGCTGATGATGGCCTAGAACGCCTTCGGTGCATTTGAGGACTCAGGCTTGGCTCTGGACTAGGTAATTTGGCATATGAGCCAGTAAGACTTTTGATAACATTATTTTCAGTAACAAAAGTGGGAATGACTTTAAAATCAGAATCGGGGTCTAAATTAGTTGGGTGACCACTTCGTACAGGTATGTCTACTTTGGAAAAGCTACCCAAAATTCCCATGGTCATGCTGCTTGCTTGAACAGAAGCACCCTGGAGGAGGACATTGGACTTATTAAGGCTTGGTTTGTCAGGAATGACTGAGCCACAGTGTTTGCCTAGCAACGGGGTCTTCTCCTTTACACAGTCAGTAACTTTAACAGCATCATTTTCTTTGTCTGAGTGACTCTCACTAACTATCCTCTTTACACTACTTCTCAAACTGTGCCTAGATTGTTCTCTTTCTATGTATTCCTTTGATTTTTTCATTAGGTTCTGAAGACTTATTACATAGGGGTCTGGAGTGACCTCCAAAAGTGATGCTCTCTGTTCTTCATTTATTGGGAAGAGATCATCAGAAATAAGGGTCTCTTGTGGGGTTGCTGACGAGGTCTTTGGAGAAGCTTCATTTTCTATATGGCTAATATCTGAACTGTCACATTGCTTCAGAGAATTAAGTTCTTCTGAGTCTCTAGCTAGGTCTACCCCACTAGATTTCAATTGGTCCTCATTATTCAAAGGCAAAACTCCAGTTAGCTTTTCAAAGTTTGCTAAAGCAGAGTGCTCAGAAGGGCTTGGCAAGTTATTTGGAAGTGTAGCAGAATCATTCAAGTTTCTGATTTCTGAATTAGAGTAAAGTGTGTCAGACTCCCACTGATCCAAATCACTGATGTCAGCTGCTTTTCTAACCTGAAAAAGGAAATTTAAAAATTATCATTTCCTGACTGCACAAAAACCTTTGATTTCATTATTTTTCTAAAAAAAAAAAAAAACTTTCAGAAATTGAACTTCCAGAAATCTGACATTTAAAAACACAAAAACTAAGCTAATCTTTTCCTATGCAAATTACTATAGGAAACACATACTAACCATCTTTTAAAAAGAGATTGAAAGAAAAAGGGGCAAAGAATCAGATACAACCATGACCATAAGAGCATGTGGACAGACAGTCATACATCCATGTGCAATTTAATCTTGGAACTGAAGCCTCTCCCTTAACTGCTTCTGCTATTTACATCACCCATTGTCCCTCCTATGAGAACTGCCATCTGAGAATAAGAAAATACAGCAAACTCCTTACATAAGTGATTGCTTTTAATAAAAACTAACTTGACCTGGGTATTGAATAAGCAAAAGATAATTCAGTAATAAGACTCATGCCTCACACATGGTTATTCCAAATTTTAACTAAAATCCTCCTACAAAGTGAGGGAAATTTGTAGTAAATAATGGCTTAGTCTCATAGCTTAAAGTACTTGAAATAATTAATTCATTAAATCAAATTTCACTTCAATGAAGTGATCATCAAAACAGCAAATGATGAGTTTTAGAACAAGCATAATAACTTGTTAACTGTATACACAAGAGATCAAGCATAAGCAAAATTACATGTGTCTTTAAATAATTTAATTTTGCAAAAGAATAAAAAGTGAAATAGGATGGTTTTTATAGATTAAACAAGCATATGGTAAACTGGTAAGATCAATATATCCTCAGATGACCACAGAATCCAGAAATCCTGAACATTAAGATTTTTAGGTTGCTTTGTGTGTGTGTGTGTTTTCCCTAGACCATCTGGCTCTCCTGTTTTACCTTACAAATCCCAAGACATGAAATGGTATCCAGGCACTATATAATAAACCGTATGAGTATACTTAGTCACCATCTCAGGACCAAAATAAAACAAACAGGATGTACATTCATGAAATTCATGAACAAGTCCATGGGTTAAGCAAAATACATTATTTCTTTAAAATAGCTCATATTTCACATTTGGAAATTCAAACTACTTTTTGAACACCAGTAATATGAATCTTTGGTTAGACAGATTAAATAATAACAAAAATGCATCATAGTCATAGGTTTTACAAGTGAAACAGACCTTGGAAATCTATCTGTACTAGATGACATTTCTCTATCTGCATAATTCATTCATTACTCTACAGTTTAACATTGTTATATGCCCTTTTAACAGAGAAAGTTTTCAGAGTCAATAATCTTAGAAGCAATCTCTCAGATATATTCCTTCAGTGGACCAAGAATGATATGCTACTTTTATTTTAATAATAGAAAATATCTAGTAAGTAAAAAAAACCCACCTTAAGTCAGTACACACTATATTTCTTAAACCTGCTATGGGAAGTAATTATAATTTGTAAATAAAAACTCCCCACAGAGAAATAACAGTAGCAGTTAGTGGGAAAGAGCCAAAGTTCACTGCACACATGTCATCTAAAATGAAGTACACAGGCCATAAGCCCCAAAGATTATGCAACGATTAAAAGCTGTAGCTGACAAAATAGTGCAGCACATGGCAGAAGTTATTTGTTCAATCTAATACCTTAGTTTTTTCTTTTTAGTATGAAATGATCCAGACCTCAACACAAATTGTTCATTCTGATTTAAATTAAGCTAGATGAAATGTACACAAAGCATGCATATGTTATTTAAGTATTTATCTAATCCAAATGGTATTTGTAGATCTAAAAGCAAGTTTCACCAAAAAAATAAATCAGGGGCAGTTATTTACTTTAGCAGAGAACAAGAATAGAGTCATTGAGTCAATCTTCTAATGAGTTCAGAGGTGAACTACAATGGCCAATTCTATCATTTTGTCACTTAGAATTCAATGTTGTCAGTCATGAGACATCGACAATGCGCAATTGTATTCAGTGTGTGGCTTCACTGTCCAAGGACCCTCTGATTCAAGTGCTGGGTATCACTAACAAGCCAGTGAATTTTCTTTGGAGTAACTGAAATGGAATATCACAAAGTATAAAGGTTCTCAAACCTAACAGTTTAGTACATTGGTATTTAAGCAGTAAGTGCAAATGTATTTATAAAAA